TTATATTGATGTTTGTGTAGCGGTATCGGTTTTATGCAGTTATTAGGTCCTGAGCACTCACACTTGCTGATAATACCAATAACTGCTGCTCCTTTCTCATGAATTTATCCCATTTGAAATGGATGGGAAAGTCAAAGTAACAAAGTAAGTAAATTCTTTAGAGCACAGGATTGAAATCTTATGAATAATTTCCTTTATATTCACCGTCCTTCACGGACTGTGCAGGTGTTTATTGGTTGAATGGGTCAAAGGGAAACACCGCAGGTTTAAAGGCCATGTTGCCGGAGAGGTATGTGCCGTTGGACGAGAGACACAGAAAGCGAGAGGAGGGATGGTGAGATAAAGACACCGGAGCAACAAAGGAACAAAGATGTGTTGGTGTGGAGCTTTGTTATCTGGCCACATTCTTTGATATATTTCTCATATCCTTTTATGGTCCTTTGGCTCCAGTAATGGAGATGGGTTGGACAATAACACGAGTTGTGTAACAGGTTTTAAACATCTGCGAGAGCGTAATAAGAGAGTGAAGGATGCTGCCCTTCTTACGTTCTGTTCCCAATTAATGTTTTATTAGATAACATGCAGAGGGACATGTGACACGATGGCGGGAGGAAACAGCCAGACAGCGTTCAATGAACCATTCCAGATCCAACCGGATCCAGAAAAATGTACTTTACTTAGTCATTTGATCACCGCCTGAGTGTGCGATATGTCTGGTTTGACATATTTGCTTTCTTGCTCAGAGTTAAATGAGATTATTGATGACATCTGTTGAGTTTTGGCCTTGAATTGGAAGCTTAATCGACCAACTTAGCTTTGCTCAAAGACTAGACTGACTGGCTCAGCCAGGAAACCGTTTCAGCATGTAACTCATAACACTATTCATTTCATATTTTGTTGTTTGTAGATATTAAACCAGTTATGTGATATGAAGTTTGCCTGTGTTCACTGCATTGTTGCTGCAGTGTGGCTCAAGTGCTTTTTGACGAAGTTTGGCGGCAAATAGAACTAACTATTTTATACGGAACGAATATGGTGAGAATAGTTACATTTCATCCGACATTAATTGTCTTATAGCGTATATAGAGTATGACCGTGACTCCGCTACGGTTACCTGGTTAGTCGAGGAGGATTTGAATGTTCATTCTGAAATTGAACATTGTGATTGGAAATTGGTTTGTGATCAAAACAAGTCAGTTATTTTACGGTAGAAAATGGTCAGGCTGTTATTCACCATGGTTCAGTAGATTGGTGTTCTCTCCTGAGTTGCATTTTGAGTATCCAGTCACTATTTTATTTGCTCAAATTTGTCCCAGCAGATCTCAGGAAGGCGTTGGGCCATTCGTTCACTTGAAGCAAAGGTGGCCTCATATCAAACCCCCTTTGGATGCTTGTAAAATTGCACAGTAAAGAAACTTGAGATTGGAGACTAGATTCAGCCGAGATTAGCCTGATACATCCAGTATGACGAATATAATGATCTGTAATGTGCTATTCCAGCATGTCTAAATACTGCATGGTTTCTACCCTTTAAGTTGACGTGCATGCCTGTTGTCTGTATATAAAACACGTCCCGTCCATAATGCTATGTGGTTAAAGTCAACAGAGGTTATTGTTTCAGCTGACCGGAAAATCCTTCTTTTCTGTCTTTCTCTCCGTGGAAATTGAAGGTTGTGGCTGGCCACAGAACCACTAACATCATATGACAGTGGCCAATTCATCCGCACCGCCTCGGCCCGGCCTCTCCGCTCCGCTCACTGCGCCGGGTTCCAGGTCTACGGCTCCTTTATGCATCGGGAAAATCTTCTTAAATTCTGTGGCCGAGCACCTAAAAATAGGTCTTTTGGGGTTTCCCCTACCGAGTCCTTGCAGTAATAATGTATTGATTGTGAACATTGCGATTGAAATAACAGACGGAATATAGTATTCAGTGTTTCAATTAGACTGATTAGACCATCACAAGGATTTTTACCTCAAACATTTTAAGTGCATTTTGTTCTCAAGGCATCATAATTAAAAATAGATGTTCTTCATACTTTTCATTCGTCAAACTCCACGCTGATTGTATGTGAATGAGTGAATGAACTTCCTTCATAAACCGTGTTTGCTCCTCTGGCTCTAACTGCTCTCCCATGACCGATGTCTAGCTCTGCTTTTGCTGTCTACATCCGCACAGCTGTGAATTATCTAATGGGAAATCCTTACTGTAGCTAAATCAAGTTATCTAAAAGGAGAAGGCATTTCTTGAACTGAACACAGTGACGACCACTGAAACTCTGCAGGGATGGACGTCAGACCTGCGGGGGTTTTACTCAACTGTGACCAAATATCTGGCTTAAAAGCTGCCGTACACAGTAAGCTACTTTTCTAAGCTCTGCCTCTGCTGCTGATTCGTTGTAAATACTCTTGGCTCTCTAATGGCTGCAGTAATGTAGTCGGGTCCATATAAGCCTAGTTTAGTGCAAGTGGAACAGAAGGATTAAGACCGGAGTGGATTTGTGTCGTAAAAGCTCAAAGTTCAACATTGGATTTACTATTAATGCTTCTACGTTACCAGATTCGATTAGTCCCCTGAGAAGATACAGTATGCGCCTGTATGCGGATAAATCATTTCAGAGCATCATGAATGGGTTTGGGAATCATATCAGAAGCTTATTACTTTGAACCGTACCGTTGGGGACTGTTCATTGTCGCTGCAGCCAGTCATCACGTCAGACATCTGCACGTCTTTGCTGACCGGAGCCAATTAGGCTGCTTCCATCGGGGGATTAAGGATGAACCAGATTGGATTTGTTCTACGTCAGACGGACAGGAACCAAGTGGACAAAGTCAAGTCGTAGTCATCTGTGACCAAAGAGCTCGGCATTCATTCCTACCCAGCATTTACTCTTTACTGAATATCTACTTTGCCCCTCTGCTAATCAGTCCAGTAAGGATGGGTACAGTAAGATAAAGATACCAGTACCTCTTCCCTTAAAGTGATGCCGACAGTCAATATCGAATCCGAATGGAAGCATGAAGTTGTGTAAAATGATTACGCCACAGCATACAGTACATTTTTGAGTAGTGTAGCAATTTTTTCAAACATTTTGGTGGCATCTTGATGCGCTGAACTGCACTCTCCATCGAGTACACGGAGCTGTAGTTCACTGCCTCAAAGACGGCACAGTTTGTAGTGGTCCGATCACACTTTTCATTAAATCGAAGAGCGAAATTCTTGATCCGGGTCCAAAAAAGATTGTGTGCAGGTATGATTTGACTGGAGAAGTTGCGATACACACACGCACACACCACTTGGTATCATGTGTGTGTGTGTGAGGTTATTTCATGTGCCAAATAAAGGCTGATTACCTCTACATGCTGATCCATGTTACATGTTGAGCGGGACACACACAGACGTTCTCTGATAACTTCCTAATAAAAGCTAGCAACACATTGTTTTTTGGGGGAAAAAAGTATATAATGTAAAATGTTTAGTATTAACACTGAGTTTCTAAAGCTGTTTTCACAACTGGGATGTGGAACATTCATTTGAATCAATGGATTTAATGTAAACGATCGACTACAATACGTCGGTCTCAACAATAAGGATAAACTTAACGCAGTTTGCGATGTTATGTTTTGTGATGCTGCATTGATTCTCAAAGAAACCTGCACCATCATTTAAATGCATAGTTTACATGTGAAGGATTTGGTTGACAGCCACAGCACAAGAAAGCCTCTGTGTTTACTTCTAGTCAGTTTTCTCTCATTGGCTCTTCGTGCTGCTAATGTCCGTCTGTTTATCTAACTGATTCTTCTTTCCTCTCAAGCTGCTCTTTCCCACAACCCCTCTCATTGACCCCCCCCCTCCCACCCCTCCGCCCCCGGTCTCGTGTTCGTCCCCGACTCCTTTGCTTTCTCACCGTCTTCCTTCGCTGTTGCCTTCTTTCACTCCCCCTCGCTCCACGTTTATGTGTCCCATACTCATCCTCTCATCCATATTTCTCTCACACTATCTTGTTGATTCACACTTCTCTTTTCACATCTGTTTTTCATCCTCCCCCTCCGCTCCCCTCCTCATCTTTCCCACCATCCCTCCGTCGTCCTTATAGATGAAACGGAGGATGTCGCCATGGGGAACCGGCTTTGGAAGTGGGCCCAGGTCAGTCATTTTTGACCCCTGACCCAACTTGTTACTTAGCCATTAAACTGCCCTTCAACCAAATTTATAAAACAACAGTTCTGGGGAAATTTGATTTTAGGAAATAGCCTTGTGTCTTTCTTTCTTTCCTTCTTTTATTCTGAGAACGAGGATGGTTTCTGTACCATATTCATATGTGTGGAGCGTCTAGGGTTGGATAGTTACACTTGTAATTAGTAGTATCAAGTAGTCAATCAAAGTTTGAATTAGCTAAATGTTATCATTATTAATATAAGTGTGACTTGCATGTACTTTAACAAGTCTGTAAAATGATATATTTCAGTATTGTCATAAAGCAAAGGATTGGAGGGATCGCTGTTTTGAGCTGATGATACTCCTGAAGGATTCATTCTGGGGCCAGTGGATGTTCCATAATCCAAAGCAATTCTTGGGTATTTTTCAAAGCGTTGGGCCGACCACATGAGAGACATAAATATAATTCTCTCTCCTGAATCTGCGAAAAATAAGGCAGGCAAGCAGGTGGGCTTGGGTAGTGACCCCTTACTGCTCGTTTGCAGGCTAGATGGTTCCAAGCTTCTTTTCGTCCATGTTGACATGTTGAGATTTTAACTGACTGAATACCACGTCAGCATACGGCACATCTTCCCAATGCACTTATTTAGCGTCAGCTAAATGACATGTAATGTAAATGTAATGTAATCTTCCCGCTAAACCGCAAAGGACGTATTTTGTATATTCATGCTAAACTTGATGAATTAATGATCTGTGACATTAATGAATGAACAAGGTAAGAGTAATCGATGGGAACTGCGGTAGTGGTTGCCGGGCACCTTGCTGGTGATAAGGCGGGAACGCTTGGCCTGAGAAGTGGGTGGCGGAGCAGAGCGCTTGGAACATAGCTGAGAAACCCTGAGGAGAATGTTTGGATTGGAGAGAGGGATCGGGCTGGAGATGGGCTTCAGATCGGACCCAGGTGCAACAAGACGGCTCAACTTTTAAGGAGTGAATAGGTTGAGCAGTAGTGATGCATGTTTTTTCTGTAATAAGGCAGCGGTTTCTACAGACGTGTGTGTGATGAACTCTCTCTGGTCGTTGAGTCCTGTGCAAGTTCATATTGGGCCACCTGCTCATGCCAGGTCACCTTCACTGGCACTCGCGTCACACCCGAGCAGGACGTTTATCACAGCAATGCAGAAGCCTGAGCTCACTGCAAGTGTTGGCATATGAGCAATTAGGAGATGGAGGCCGATCAATACCAAATACCAAAGAAAAAATCGAATTAGTCGCGTTATCACATTATTGCATGAATGTTCGATTGAGGGGCAGTTGGGCTCATCAACGTCTCTCCCTGTCTTGCAGCAGCACCAGCGCTGCCATGTCTTCCGGCCCTCCGGATGTGACGGCCAACCAGGAGCCTGCTGAGGTGGTGGAAGAGTGCTCAGGTAACAATTTGATTAAATGTTCTTTTCAAAGAAACGGATTTCAATTTTTTTGAGTGGTCAAAATGGTTTCTCAGGACATGTTGGGACCAATAACTGACCATGTAAGTGTCATAATGCGTGAGCAGTGTTCTGTGGCTACATCCCATCAGCAATGAGCGCATGTACACAGACACAGCAGAGAAGATCAGGACAGCTTTAACAATTTAGATCTAGAGCGTCAGTGCTGTGGCCGGAAATGAAGGAAAAGCAAAGCTATCGCCATTGCTGTCTCTCACACGCAAAGCCCCGATGCACACGGTCTGTACAGATGGATAGCACACACGCTGCTCATATTATGGCAACAAAGAAGAAGTGCGCTGACGGAAGTCTGTGATGTGAATCCACAGCAGAGATCCTAGTGATCTTAAGATTATTGCACTGTCCAAGAAAGTGGAAACTTTTAAACCTGGCTCCTCTCTTAGTTCTGATTTCTCAGTGTAGATTTATTATTGCAGGAAACGGTCCATTAGCATTCAGGAGTGCTGAATCTCATCTTCCTCATCCTCATGTCGTTTCTGGGGCAAATTACAAATGTTGCTGTTAAAATCTGTCCAGCTCTCCTGACAAACACCACGTCCTGACCCCGAAAAACAATGAAGAGGAGTTTTCGGTTCCCCGGCGCTCTGTCCATGTCAAAGGTCACCATCTTCCCATTTTGTAAGCTGATGTCAGTAGCCACTTTTATTGATGTTGGACTGTCTTGGAAACGACATGATGTTATTTTTAATGTGTGGATACAGTCGTGTAACGAGAGATTTCACATTGGGAAATAACGGTATCTTACAACTACAATGACCATGGAGCTCCACTGACCTTCCATTGAGGCAGTGGCCTTTTTCGTCTCTCTGAGTGCAGACTTTTATCTTAATACTGTATTGTGCCTAAAATAGCACAATAAATGGCACCGTCGGCTGGTCCCCTGATTTTTCATCTTGGCAGGCAGAAAAGGCCTCAGAGGCATCATGAAAAGCTCTTTTGAAGCAGAACAGAACAGACGAAAGGGTAAAAAATTGCAGCCCACATTTCTTCACAGAATGACCATCATCAATCTCTGATTTGGTGGCAATAGTTTGCAAGGTGCTCCATTTAGCTTTCAGTGCGGTCGGTGTGTCACCGCAATTTGGATTTGCACCTATTTTTCAGGATTTCTTGTAGGCTTTGTATCGAATAACACACGTAAGATCTCAAAAGACAAGAAATCACGCGGCTTGTACAGACAGACCTTCTCATTAAGTAGATTGAGTAGGTGTGCCCAAACGTTTAACTGGTACCGTGTGCGTAAGATTCAAAATGTAAAATCTGTAGTGGGAAAGTAAGCGTGAAATGGTCTTGTGCAATTAACCCAGACATCTTAAGCATCTTGGCTTCTTCTCCCAGGCTGAGATTCCAGACATTTTTCCCCGTGATTGAGTTCCAAGCAGAAGTGTATATTTAGAGAAAGAAAGGAATGCTGAAGGATTCCCCGCCCTGAGAAAGACACGCTAGTGCAGAAAGAATGTGTCTTTCCTAAAGCATTTTCTATGGCCCAGGGATACGAATTTGTTTTCCTCTGCTCTGGTTCTGAACTTATATCTGCGCGCCAGGACAGCAAATACGATCACTTCTGCAGCTGAGATGCTCCATAATAGTGTTGGTAACATTCAGAATGTGTCCATCTGGGAGAGTCTGGCTTTATGCACGTATACAATCCCTTCACAACACCAGTCGGTCCGCTGTGGTTTAGACCATAAACAACAATTGGATTCTTGGTCTCCGGAGGTTATCGTTTTTAGCTTTTAACTCCTAGTAGTCCGAACACAGCCTGAACATAGAGGCGCTGCGCTCCGTCAGGTACCAGGAAGTTCACTTTGACTGACTCATCCGGGGCTTTGAAGGTCTGTTGAGTCCGTGGGCTGAATGCGGGACGAGAGAGAGGACCGGCGGGCATTTCAAGTTCTGGATCAGCGCCTTGCTGACTGAAAGCACTTTGTAGCTGTTTAAGGAGTTATAAAAGAGTTGTTGAGTTTTTCCACTGCGGCGCTAATGGAGCTGGACTCAGGGTGAGGAGGGAGGGGGTTTACAAGCAGAGATGTGTGTGTGTGTGTGTGTGTGTGTGTGTCTGGCTTTACGTGCGTCTCTGTAAAAACTGTGTAGGTGTTTAGTTTCTTCAGGGAGGACTGCCCGGGAGTTCACAGTCAGCTAATTGCTCAAACCAGAGTTCATACGAGGCCGGTGTGTAAAGGCGCTGTGTGTGTAATTGTCTCATCAACGCATCACTGTGCAGGCAGTTAGAAAGAGGGCCCTTCAGAGGCAGGCCACTTTAACCATGTCTTATTTTGAAAATAACTCCCTTTTATAGGAAAGAAGAAGTCCAAATTTCAGACGTTTAAGAAATTCTTCGCCAGGAAGAAGAGAAAGGAGCCGCCGGCCGCTGGAGCAGACGCAGGGCTTAAAGGCAGCCGATCGAGCGACAATGTCACAGAAACATCCCAAAATAACACGCTGACTCGATCAGAGAAGGATAAAGGCTCTGGGTGAGATCAGACGCCTACATTCTCACACAAAAACACACAATAAGTCTTATTTAAACATTTACACAGTTACATACATAGGCCAAGTGCCCATCAACGGGATGCAAATACTACTTGGTGGTTTATACGGAAAAGGTTTGGTCAAAGACTATATTTTGCATTACAAAAGCCCGATAGATATGAATGCAGTTCTGTGAATATCGCCTTGTTTCTTTTGAACGATATCCCTAAACATTCCAGTATTTTATTCAGCCACTACTTGTTGAGGGCTTTACCAACAAAAAACAGCTGCTGTTGGTAGATACCAATTTCATTTTCCTGCACCTAAGTATCATGTTTCTACACAGTTTGTTGGTTCTTCTGTCCATTCAGATAAACACCTTCTCCTGTGTGTAAAAGATAATTTAGCCAAAGGAAGATCATGTTTTAACATCCATTTCCTGGTCTTCCTCGGCTGAGCCCTGCTAGCTTCCTGTTTTCGTAGCAAGCAGCTGAATATGTCTTCCTGTGGACAGTCCTAATTCCCTTTGTTTCCATAAGCTATGCCGCTTCCTGCCTCGTCTACTCTTGACTTTTCCTCCGTGTCACAGGATATGTTCGTTCCTATTTTATCCATGCCGTGTTCCTCCTCCTTGTCATTAGTGGAGTTGGCACAATTGATCAACAAAAGCAGAAGAGTATAGAAGTATCTTCTTTGATTCAAGAAGCGATACAGCTTCAGTGGGGTAGTTTGCCCGCCAACGGCGTTTTCTCTTGAAGCCACATCCAGCTGTCTACTTATTTGATGAGGTCATGGAATCAGCAAAACATCACTTTCTTCTTTGTTTATTTCTTCCTGTTTCCCAAAGGTCAAAGATCAGCCAGGGTAGCAAGGCCTTATCTCACGACTCGGTCTTTGTTTCGGAGGCGTCGGAGGCCACCGAGGCTCTGGGAGCATCTCAGGACAGCATTCATGGGAAAGTGAAATCCCTTCAGGTAAATGAACGCCAGTTCTCCTCAACGACCCTTAGATTCGTTCTACAAAAGGACGGCGGTGACAAGCAGTAGAGAAGAGGATCGTGAGATATTAATGAAGAGTTATAAACAAATACAATCTGTTTGTTTGAGTGTCTTTGACCTTGCGTGGACGGCCGTGAACCGTATTGTCAATAAAGGATGTGATGAAGCGAGACGGGGCAGCTGATCTGGGGTATATTTAGACAGACCGGCCGATGAGTATGACTAAGGGAGGTTAAAACCGGAGCGTCTGTCAAAGCAAAATGAAGGAGCGGCTGATGAAAAGAAAAGCAGACGGAACAAATGTCTGTCACAACAACGGGCTGAAACGGGAAGACGAGACACCCAGACAGACAAACTGACCTCTAGTTAAACTGCTCTACTAAGCTTCCTTCAGGGGAGTGAGAATTAAAACATCTTTATAAGGATTTGCTAAAAAAGGAAACTTTCTCCAGCACACAAAATGCAAAAGAAAAGAACGTTTTTGGTTTGGGCCTGTTGAGACAGCACACACGCATATGATGATATCAATAGTTATTTCACAAGTAAAACTGCAAAAGATTGTATTAGATGATATTATTTGGGATTTTGTTTCTTTTAATTTCCTCAATTTAGTGTTTTGTCAGTCCTCTCCACTGACCCAGGATTTCCCTCTAATGGACAAATACCGAATCTCTTTGACGCCATTAAAACACTCACACATACTGATGGCTTTGCTAGCATGTCCGGTAACAGTTGACATATCGAAATCATTTAATATTTAATAGGCAACAAACAAAGTTTAAAAAGTTGCAAAATGGCGTAGAAACAGGAAGCTCCCTTTCTTTTTTCAAAACGCTAATGTTAACTTGTCTACTCTTTTGCGGCGGCCATTGTTAGCATGGTGAGCTCTTTGTTTTAGTTCAAATCAAGTGCCATTTATTTGCAGCTCTGCATAAAAGAAAGATAAAGCTACACAGGATGGAATTGTGACGGTTATATAACTGCTCATGATGAGGGAAGCTGCTCCTAAGTGCTTGTTTTAGTCGGACCTCCGTATCTCAATGTGTTTGAGTTACTGTTACATTAGCATTGAGCGCTGCAGCGTACGGGGGCTTTCTGTCGACGTCTTGGCGTGTACTAACCTCCAGCGGGGCCAAAGAAAGGCTGTATTGTCCTGTGTTTGCTCGGCACCGGTCTGGGAGTCCTTGAGCGGCTGTTACAGGGAAACACATAACTGATAACAGGTCAGTTAGTCCGAGTTTCTGTGATACCCGCTAAGCAAACGGACCAAAATACACAGTTTATCTCTTGAGGGGCAGCCGACTCTCCCCACAAGTTCATTCTCTGTTAATCATACTCTAAACTAGTGGGGATGCTGGGTCTGTAAAAGCAGTGAAACCTTGTGAGCACATAAACACGTGTACTCAAACACACCTTTGTTACCTTTTTGTAAAGCTGTAGCTTATTAAACAGGCTGACGGACGCACACAAAACCTGAAACAACAGTGTGGCGGTGGTATCGATCATCTTACAGGCATGAGAGCTAATATTTATTTCCCTGCAGCTCCAGCTGAGGCAGGCCATCAGGCTGGGATCCCCTCCATCCCTCATGTGCGTGAAGAGAACGGACGATGCCGGGGCCATGTCTGAGGACGACGGCCTGCCCTGTAGTCCACGCGATTACACAACGCCTCACACAGTCATGGTAACACATTTTGACCGAGTGACGTCCCGCCATGATGTCCACCTAAATGCTTTCTGCCGACGGCGCAGCTAACAATGTTATTCTGTCTCTCTCTGCATCTCCGAATCCTTCTCAGAGTAACCGCTCCATCAGTCTGGAAGGAATAGACAGTGACAGTGACCAGGTAGAGTACTCCACCGATTTGGCATTGCACTCCTGTTACATAATGGGACATTTTCTTTTTAAAACTCAGCCTCTTTTTGGCTTTTACACAGCTTGACGTGCTACGTCAATGCCCTCAGGAACAGACTGGAAAGCAAAGAACCTTAAGTAACTGGGCGAGGGAATTCAACCTGTCACCGGGCAAACTGTGGGTGCGATAAGAACTTTATAAAGAAACCTCATAGGGAGAAACACGTTTCTCCTCACATGACCATGACGATAAAAAAATCCTCTCATGATCCAATCTAATCAAATGTTTTTGATCCTTGTTCTTTCTTACCGTCTTGCTCTTTCTCCATCTGTGTCTTTAATTGTCTGCCGCTGACCTACTGTGTGACTTTTTGTGGTTTCGGCCCGGGTCCTCTGAAATGCTTCTCAGATGGACATGGCAAATTTGTGATAGGACAAATGCTCCTTAAAAAAACTAAAACATTAATTTAGTCTCGCCAGGCTGTAATGTGGGCAAGACACACAGTCAGCAAAATGTCACCAACGAGCATTTAATGATAGTGCAGTTCAAGCAATTTCAGAAACTTTTTTGGCCAGTCATTTTCCCAAAGAAAAGAGCCCCAAATGGCTACAAAGAACGCACACACTCACCATTCACTTTAAAGGGCATTCCATGCACAGGAATGTAGTCGGAGAGCACTGCGGCGCCTTTCTGAGGCTCTACAACAGAGTTCATGGAGACACTGAATGTTTTTTTGAGATTTTATTGAGAAGAAATGTCTCGGATTTCCTTGCAGGGCCGACAGTCTGTAGCGAGACGACTAGTTTGTGTGTATAATCCGTCCGGGGGGCTTTGGTCCTTCTCAGTCTGACAGACGGGTCCACTGTGAATAGAAAGTTTATTGACATGTAGTTTAGATGGTTCCTCAGTTGTTGTTTTAATACTGGGTGTTGAGGCTACACTGATTCTTTTTTTATTGACAGTGCATCAAATGGCTGTATGTAATGAGAGCGGTCATGTTATTGACATTAGAAAGAATTATATCCAATCCCACTTCGCTCTTTTAGCTTCGTGGGCCTTGGATTTGCTTTTCAGGTCCTTGTTTCGACGCACACAGCTTTTCAGCCGCACCACGCAGCTGTTTTCAGTGTAATTACCTGTTCACAACCGAAACGCAAGCAGACAAAGTTACGACCAGGCTGTAATCTCCGAGTGTGAAAAGTGAAACATTTGCTGAAGTGCTTTCTCCTTGAATTCTTTCTAATGGCCATCAGGGGGATGACTCCTCTTATCGCAAAAATGTCTGATTATGTAGAAAATGACTCAACTCACTACTCATTTATTCCCTCTGTAAGTATTTTAAACAAGGGTGTATTGACTCAATCTCTACTTTCAAGTTAACACGGCTTGACATTTATTTACATTATAAAAAATGCTTCATCAAAAATGTGTTATTCAGATTGTAGTTATAGCTCTAGCCTCTGGCGTCCTATCGGGTTGCAAAAAAAACAGAAGGTGATTGCCAAGAAGTCTCAAAACGGCAGTTCACAAAGCGATTCTTGCTGTTGAGCTACACAGTCTGTGTTTGCGACAAGCGGGTGAACACAGCGGAACATTTAGTTGCTAGAAACCAAAACCGAGCTGCAAGGAGATGGAATATCTGAGGTAGATTCTTCATGAGTGTTGCTACCTGCCAGCTGCATGTGGACACTAAGGGAGCATTCACTTCTCGTGGGACTGACACTCGATCGATCCTTCTCTCTGTCCGTCATTCAGCTATGCCGCCAATTTGAATGGTGTAATTTCAAGTTAGCAGGCTTCTCAAGTCAGATCAGATCTGTGTTTCCAGCTGAGGACAACACAAAGGCACACTGCATCTGAGTGAACCGCTGTCATGTCCTTTGTGTGTAATACTTGAAGGTGTGTGTGTGTGTGTGTGTGTGTGTGTGTGTGTGTGTGTCAGAGTGCATTCTCATGTTTCAAAAGGCAGTCAATCTGTCTGTTTGTAGTTATAGAGTTTAAATTCTGCCCCACATCTTGTTTCTGTCTGTCTTTAAATGTATTCGCACACACACACACACACACACACACACACACACACACACACACACACACACACACAGCAACCTGAAATCTAGACGTCAACAAAGAAGAACCTGGATCATATTCCACTGCCACACAGTGTTTTAGACTTGCCCAAATCATAAAGACGTATCGTCTGAACCCCCGTGGGATCTAGCCATGAAAACAGTTTGTTTTTCTAATTTAATGTTTAGAGATTTGCATCTCTGCCGTTCTGCCACAAACTCAGTATAGTGGGGCAAAGAGTGTCACTTGAGACTGTCACTGTGCTGCTTTTAGCAGTCCGATTAGATGTTGAAACACGTGTGAATGTCCAGAGAGCGGTACATCTCTCCTACGTGTTGGTCCCACAGAGAGACCGCTAATAGTTATCCAGCTGGAGTGTCTCTCTCGTTCTCTCTCTGCTTGCTGTTTCTGCGCGGTCATCATTTCAGGGAATAACCCCCTTTTTTATTTAACCGCGATCATCTTACCCCATGTTTCGCAAACTCCCCCAGACTCCCCCGTTTGTTTAATGTCATCTGTGAAATGCCGTCTCCTTCTCTTCCCAGGTGTCCTGCGCCGCCTCCAGCAGAGCGGTGAGCCTGCTGGAGGTCCCGGGGGACTTCAGTCAGCCGGCGAGTCCCTTCGGCTGCCTCGATAACTCTGCCGCCAAACACAAGCTGGGCCTGAGACACAAAGCCGGCAACAGGAGGAAACCCGTGGCAGTGAGAGATTCACACGCACACACGCGTGCACCAGTTCAGCCGGTCGTGTCACAGCTACAAGTGATGTGGTTTTATGGTCTTTTTTGTCCCGCAGAGGCTGGAGATGAGAGCAGCGGGGGACTCGGCGGTGGAGGATCCCTCCCCAGCAGAGGCTGCAGAGGAGCGAGAGCAACAGAGGACAGCAGAAGGTCGGCGCACTTACTTTAATGCTCTGCTGCTTTTACTTCAAATCAATGACTAAGAATGGAAGTTTGTTGCTGCTTGACATTCACTTGAAATTGAAGTTGATTTTAAGAGAGTATTCAATTATTTTCTTTAAAAAAAAAATGGAGCTATTCAAAATACACAATTACTCTCAGACTCATAGTTCAAACAAAAGCCCAATTGACATTACATTTATCTTATTGCCATCATGACCATTTTTTTTCCTTTTTTCAAATTTGCAAACAATTTGCCACCTAGACTTGAATTGCTTTATTGACGCCCTATTGCCGTTTTTTTGTTAAAGTTACGTTTGAGAAATTAGTGATTCCTATCATCGGACATTGTATCACGTTGACCTCTGACCTTTGCTTTCTTTTTGTGGTCCAGTTGTAAGTGTCGAGGACCTGAAAGCACAGGGGGATGGGGAGGAAGAAGCCGGAGGAGGAGAGGAGGAGGAGGAGGAGGAGGAGCAGCCAAAGCATTCCAGACACTCCCTGTTGAGTCACAAGGAGGAGGAGGAGGAGGAGGAGAGGGAGGAAGGAGAGGACCAGTCTGAAGCTGAGCAGGATGTTTCTCACGGCCCGGACTCGTCGTCTCCTGTCGAGCTGCGTCTCTCTGAGGAGGAAGCCGAGGCCCGGCCCGCCTCCCGGCCCGGCTCCAGGGATTCCTCTCTGGACAGTCCCGGGTGATCACACGTCACATCCTCCTCCTCTCAGTCTGTTTATGTTTCCTTTTTCTATCGGTCTGACCCCTTGATATCGTCCTTGTAGGGCCACGCCAGAGCCCCCTGCCGCTCAGAGGGAGTACTTGCTGGACCCTCCAGGCATCGCCTACGGAGCAGAGAAGACGGGGGCAGAAAGTGACTTGGCACTGAGCGAAGAAGATGAAGTCCAAGAAAACATGGAGGAGGAGAGCTCCTTCTTACAAGAAGTGCTGAGCTCCTTGAAGACTCCCCTCTCTTCATGCTCGCTGGACCAGGAGCCTGAGAGTGTTGTCCTGGAGATGCAGGAGGAGGTGAAGGAAAGGGAGAGAGAAAATGTGGATGTAGAGGAAGGGGAGGAGATGAAAGAAGAGGAAGCGGCCGTTGGCTTCCCTCGGTTAGATCACACCGCAGAGGAAGAGGTCTCTGCTTTGAACACTCCTTCTGGTCGAGATGTTGAAGAAGAAGAGGAGGAGGAAGAAGAAGAATCACCAGCAGAGGAAGTGGAACTCGTGGTGGAAATGCTCTGCCGCCATGATGTATGTGTCTTTCAATCATTTTTAATATTGTGAGTGAAGAATATGTCAAAATCTCAAATCGTTTCCTTTAATCTTCCAGCGGGCGGAGGACGGAGAGAAGAAGGAGGCCGATGAAGTCACACCCGATGAACGAGATGATGCAGAAACAAGTCGTGCTGTCAACCAGGCGCAGAGAAAAGAGAACGAGGACAGTGAGGGAGAGGAGGAGGCGATCGAGCTGGAGAAAGAGCCCGAGGTGGAGGAGGAGGGACGGGAGAAGAGGGAGGAGGAGGAAGAGGTGGAGGAGGCAGAGGTGGAGGAGGCAGAGGTGGAGGAGGCAGAGGTGGAGGAGGCAGAGGTGAGAGTGGAGAAGGCGGAGGAGGCGACAGAGGAAGAGAGGGAGGGCGCGGAGGAGGCGACTGAGACGTTTCATGGAGCAGCAGACGAGGAAGCTGCCATGTTGCCGCAGGTGGAGGAGGAGGGCGTGGACGTCGGGGTTGGAGATGGCGGCGAGACCGTTCTGGGTGAAGCGGCTTCCGATCGCAGCTCCGGAGGGGACAGTGAGGACGGAGAAGAGAAGGTGGAGAAAGTCGTGCAGATCGGCCGCGCAGAACACCAGTCGGAGGAAGAGGAGGACGAGAGTGATCGAGATCCGCAGCAGGAAAGCGTAGCAAGCGTAGCAATGTGCAAGGAGGAAGGTAACGTCTCTGCCAAGCCTCCGTCTTTGTCCCTTCCAGGGTCACCAGAGAGCGGAAGCAGCACTCCCAGTAAGACCAGCAAGACCTCCATCCACATAAATCTACTCTCTCCAAGCTCAGAGAAAGCCACACCTTTCTTCCAATGCTCGGCAGCTGCAGACCCCGCAGAAGAAGAACCAGCGGACGATGCGGAAGCCGAGGAGGAAGAAAACCATTCGGCCTCGGAGGGAGAGGCCACTCTCTCTGCCTCTGCTTCCAGCGACTCGGATCGGAGCAAAGTCGGCTCCGCCTGGCGGAGGTCACTCTCTTTTGAAGAAGCGGAGGAGACCTCTCTTTCCTCTTCGCCGTCCTCCTTCACAGGACCCAGAAGGGTGGAGGTGGAGGCCGCGAATAGCAAGGACCCAAAGAGAGCAGAGCCCAAAGTGGAGGCAAAGCCCAAAGTGGGGGCAGAGCCCGAAGTGGGGGCAGAGCCCGAAGTGGAGGCTGAGCCCGAAGTGGAGGCTGAGCCCAAAGTGGAGGCTGAGCCCGAAGTGGAGGCAGAGCCCAAAGTGGAGGCTGAGCCCAAAGTGGAGGCTGAGCCCAAAGTGGAGGCAGAGCCCAAAGTGGAGGCAGAGCCGGCCAGTTTGTCACAGGTGGAGCTGGTGTTGAGCCCTGGTAGGTTGAGGAGTGCAGGGGCCGCTTCAGCTGTCCCGCCTCAATCCTCCATTCAACCTCCGACCACAGCGAGCAGAGAAGGTAGAGCGTGATGATGTTTTTCGTTTTTGGGGTAATGCGGTTTGCTCTTTGTCTTGGTGCTCGGCCCTAAAGTCAATAAAGTCCAACCCCAGACTGGCTCCTCCCCCCTGCAGAGAGCCCGGTCGCAGCGGAGGGAAACCCTGACAGTCCTTTTGGAGTTCGGCTGAGGAAGACTTCGGCTCTCCACCTCTTCCGCTCGGAGGAGGAAAACACAGAGGTAACCATCTCGCCTTGTGCTTCTTATGGAGATCCCTGAATTAACAATAAACAAAACAAAAATAACACGGTGTGAACATATAGAGTCTGCGTTCGTAGCTTGTTTCTGACGCCCCCAGGTGTTCAATAAAATGAATGAACAGATTAAAATAAAGTATTATTTTATGTTGAATTTTGCATAAATCGTTCCCATCCCCTGCTCCAGCTTCCCGTCGATCCTCCAGCTCAGCCAACCAGCTGTAAGGTTGACTCGCCGCAGCCAATCAGCATGAAGCCCTCCATAAGTCAGCCGGTCAGCCTCAAGCCCTCCCTCTCCAAGAAACCAGATGTAAAGCGCATGTCAGGTGTGTATATACACACACACACACACACACACACACACACCTTTTTTCATCGTAGTGCGCAATGTTCACACGTACCCTCACCATTCAGATTAGAAGGGTAAGCAGCTCTTTCAGCCCACGTGTGACAGTGTGTCTGCTGCTGTCTTATTGATTCAGACCCGGCTGCTCGCAGTCCTTCTGGTGGATCTGATCCTCCCAGCTGGATTTCTGTGGCCAAACAGAAACAGAAGATCTACAAAGAAAACTCGCTTGATGAGATCACAGTCAGGAAGGTAACCTGTGTGTGTGTGTGTTTACAATCGCATTGTAGCTTTGTTAGTGGTTCAGATGTGGGGATCGTGTTGTTTACACCGCGTCGGCTCACTGCACGTTTCCAGCCACATACCGTAAGCGACTGTGTACAACTGTGCTGCTCTCTGTCATCAGGAGGAGCAGGAGAGGGAGAGTTCGGTTGCAAGCAGAGAGCACAGCAACAGAACAACGGAGGGCAAAGGTCAGCACACACAAAAACCAAATTGCATAACGCGCCACACTGCCAAAAAGGGTATTTACAAAAGACCGATCTGCTGCAGCATCAAGAGGCATCAATTAGTTTGATCATCTAAGTATAATTTGTATTCTGGTTTGTACACGATGGGTTTCTGTCTGGACCTCAGGTGTGGTCTAAGTTCTCTCATCAGGACTTTTGACCGACGCAGGTCTGACCTCATGTGGACATACTGTGCCACTGCAAGCAACCCAACAGGAGTCAGTTCACGTTTAACATTCAGCCATGGAAATCTAGATCGTAGTTTAATAGAGATGTATACGTGTCTTAACTGCTGAGGAAAAATACATATTGCAGAAGGATTAATATAGTCCTCCAGAATATCAGTGCTGTTTATCTATTGTTACATGCATGCAATATTTGTATAAATACCATACAGTGTTTTGTAAATGCTAATTTACATGAAAAAAAGATTAATTTACAAAACAAAAGAACGTTCTATTTAACAAAACTTTTCCTCGTTATCGATATGGTGACAGGTTAAGTTGCTGAAATGACTGATGTCACATTGTACATTTGAATGATGGACCTTTTTTGTTTTTTTTCAGCAACTCCGCTGGAGACCAGTAAGCATTCCGCGTCAGCAGAGAAGGAGCCCCGGAGGTCTCTCTCTCCTCCGACTCCGGTGCCTCCTCAACCCCTTAAATTCCAGTCACCGCCCTGCCCTGTTCCTCCGAAACCGCAGCTCCCACCGTCCGCCGCCAGACACCCACCCCAACCCGCGGCCCCCCAAAGGTCCCTGTCACCCCCTGCTCCGATTACCGTGCCCAAAAAATCTCCCTCCTGCACTAACCCGCCATCGCCCTCCAAAGCGGCCGCCTCGCCCAAGACGCCGCTGCCCCGGAGCACGACGCCTACCTCCCCTCCCTTTTCCTCGAGAGCCGCCCCGGAGCCAAAGTCTGGCTCAAGAGGAGCTCCGGGGCTCCACATCCAAACCCCAGCGTCTCAGCGAAGCCCCCCTCCTCCGGCGTCGCCCCAGGATGAGCCTCCCTGGATGGCCCTGGCCAAGAAGAAGGCCAAAGCCTGGAGCGAGATGCCCCAGATCGTCCAGTGACGGATGGCGGTTCCAGTGAGAGCTTGTAAATACGGGCCAGAGTGGGTCGGATCTGAGAGTCTAGTTGGACCAGAATGCATTTGCACACAAAGAGTTGCTGTTTTCTGTTGGTACTTCCTGGTTTCTATCCTGGCTTAAGTTTTCAGATTGGTGCAAACCAGCCAATCACTGCCAAAGACATCCAGTCCAGTCTAACTCCTGTTGTCTCATGTTGTACATTGGTGTTTTTTAAATGGCAGGGTGGGACCCCCAAACATTATTGCATCTTACTTGAAGTGGATCCATTTTTTTTTTCAAGTCTTATTATGTTGAAATGTGCCTGAATGAGAGGAAATACCTGCAGTGTTGCAGCGGAAAAACAACTATTATATGTTATTAAGTAAAAAATATTAGTAAATAAAAAAGACAGGACTATTTTATTAAAAGTAAAAGATTTATTCATTGAAAGTTGGTGAAAAGAGATGATGAAGAGTAGGAGACAAAAATCTGTGCGTGTTTATTGTTGGCTGTGGTGCAGGCTCACGTTTTGAGGAATGTGGGACATAATCGAAGTTAAGTGGGGTAAAAAAATGAGTTTTGCTAACAGCGTTTCCTCAGTCCGAGTATCCGAGTCTTTAGAAATATATTTCTCGTTACACGTTCAACTGAAACTAAACCATTGAGCCAGCGAATGTGTCCAACGTGCTCGTGCAACACTCGTCACCATAAATTGTATCTTCAATTTTGCATGAATGAACTAACCCGTCCTCCAAAAGGCCCTCTGTTTAGGAATCAAGGATAACTGTTATCACGTCCACTTTCATGGGTTTTTAATACTTTGAGTGCGTCATGTTGGCCGCGGGTTAGGACACTTTTTTTTTTCCGATCACAACCAGACATTATTTGAAACAGCAATTAATATATCACTAAGATTGATTTGCTTCACATCACAAACGGAAAGTGTTTTGTTTGCATCCATTAAATCTATCACATTAACTATATATATATATATATATATTTCTTTTTTTATGCATTTTGTTTTATTTTGTATTGCTTTCTGAGAATTTGTCTTGTACATAAAAGAATAAATTTAATCTGGGTTCTTTTGTTACGTGTGTGTATGTGGTTTCCTCACAGCCATGTTCAGCCATTAGCCTTTAACATACTATAAATACTATAAATCCCTCAGAGGAAAGCATCAGCATGCATGTCTTGTGTCTCTCTCAGTAAGGCATTTAGAACGGACTTCCTTCTATGCTCCAAGAATACATTTTACAGTGATAAGATCAGTACTTCTGTTGAATCTTTCTGGTTCCTCCTGAGGTCAACTCCTCCGCACCTTTTCACTGGAATGTGAAGCAACCTCGGGCTAGTTAACATTTTACTTTTTAAGGTTAACACTTGGATACTCTTTTGCAAAAAATATATTCAGAATTCACTGCTCTTAGGAGTGTTATGCAACATTCGAAATCCTATTAAAATTCACCAGTTAATTGGACAAAATCTTTTGTGTTACTTTTCTCAGAAATGGTGCTCTCGAAAGCAACAAATTGAAAAAAAGAAGAGTCATAATGGATGAAAGCACAACATGCTGATGTTTCCTGACCCCCCCAAGTCAACATTACACAACTGTTTTCACCGGCTGAGTCGTGCTTCCTGTGACAACCAGGCTGAACCTCACCTGTCAAATCTGTTTAATAGTCCTTTTAGCAACAGCTCAAATCCCCACAGGCTCATTCAAGGTCACGTTCACTGAAGCATCTCAAGCTCTGAGACGATCGTTTCACAATATATCGAATTAATCCCAAACTCATCAGTTTCCCGACCAGACCAGCAGTGTTTCTGTGACTCTATTTTACAGTCATTACACAATAAATTACACTGTTATTTTTAAACTGATCCCTTACTGCCCGTCTAGTGTCAGTGTCCTAAACACTCCCTGTACAGTCTCAGCATGTGCATGTAGGAACATCTGTGTGTGTGACTTTGTGTGTGTGTGTGTGTGTGGTCATAAAGCAGACGTTTGCATGTATGTGATTGATGGTCCATGTGAATGCATGCGTGTGCATGCAGGAAGCTGTAATCAGTGAGAGGGCTGCTTCAACTCCCCAGATGTTTTTCCTGGTTCAGTTAAGTAACACCGCCGCCCTACTTCTGACACACACGCACACACACACACACACACAGAGCTCCGGAGTGGACCAGCCAAGATGTGTGTGTGTGTCCGTGCAAGGTATCCATAGCGACGACTACTCTATGCTGACCTTCTCATATACAGGTTATGTAGTAGCACTTGGCAGGATCACAGAGTAGGAGGGAATTGAAGGGGGGGGGGGGGGGGGCACAATAATGTCAACTCAAGCCATTAAGATCAGTTGAGATCACAGAAACTTTTGAAGATCAAAAAACACACTTTTTAACACACGTTAAAAATAACACACAAAACCTGGCAGTGAAAAGACATTCCTACTTGTCAAAAAAATTCCTCTTGGTACAGAAAGTAAAGTACAGTACATTTCTAATGGTATGTTGTGTCTCAAACGATGTGGCATTCATCCGTCCACAGGAGTGACAGACTTCGTAACATCCGCTACGCAATTCACCCGCTCATCTGGACACTTTTCAGGCAGCATGTCTGTCACGGGCAAACATCTGGAGTCCCGTTGCTGACTTGCAGATGGCTCTGCCTTGTTCTCGGCCCTCTTCCTGAGGCGCTATTCCTTGGCTCTTTAGCCGCTAAAAGCTCCATTTGCTTTCGGATGAGCTTCTAAAGCCACTCTGTGTTTTTGCAGGGAGACACGTCATCTCTCTGGCAGCGGAAGAGGAACTGGACTTCCACAGGCAAAACAAACGGCGAATTAGACACGCTGTCTGCATGCTTTGAGGTTTAGTCAAAGCGCATGACCAGCCCGACCTCTTTGACCTCTGCGACCCTGGGTGGTGTGAGGTCGGACTCTCCTGCTGTTATTATTTCCAGTGACATCATAGCTAATCATTTGATAGCCCGTTGTGAAAGAGAATTTCAAATTAGCCCACCAACGACACTGGCTGGTTTCCACCGGCCGGAAAAAAACACCCTTCTTTCCTTCGGTGGCAACTTTGTTTACAGAGATATACGCAGACATGTGATCGATGAGGTCATTTCTCACAGCTTAAGACCGATGACACGTTCTCCTCACACACTTACCTCTCATTTTCCCTTCGCATTTAATACATCCACAACGTGGCATGATGAATTATGTTTATATTATAAAAGAGAAAAAGCTTATTAAACACAATGAACAAGACATAATAAAATGAAGAAATAAATACAAGAACAAATACATGCAACAATGTTTTTTTTGTGTTATACCTCTTTCATTGATTTGATGTAGGCTTATTGAGATATCATAAATCTTTCATGGGAATTAGCCAAACATATTTCTCTGTGTTCCTTGAACACACCCGTGAATCCTCATGTGACGTTTCTCATGTCCCAACACAACCACTGACTGACGAGCCTGTTGCCATTTACAGACAGCAGTCGTGGTGTCCGCTCTGTGAGGGCGCAACTCTAGAATCCTCACATGCTCGTAGCGACAGCGCTAATCTTTGGCATGGTAGCCTTTCTCCTCATTTCAGTTTAGCGTTTAAGCAACATAGGAACTGTAATGTGCCGTTCTCTTTAAAGCTTCCTATCCTCTATATTTAGGAGCGGCCGGGGTGTGACCCTAGTAGGGCTTCCAATCGCTTCGGGCCCCTGTGGCC